CAGATACGGACTCTCACCTCACTTTGACTGCATTAATACCTAAGCTCCTACATCCTGTGCCATGTTGTAGGAGAGTTTCATTTGCTGTTTAACATCCTGTTCTAGGTAAACTCTGAGCTAAATCTTGTACTTGACATCAATGCTTAAAAATAGAAGTGTTCAGAATAATAAGCCAGGATGTAGAAAAACACTCATGCTGCTTCTCTGCTACAATGTGACAGCTGAAGCAAAAAGAATTTAAGGTTGGGGGTGGAGGGGGGAATGGCTTGTAAAGATCACAAAGTACCTTTCTATTTCAAGAAAATGGCAAAGGAAACCACCCTCTTTAAACACACTGTTTGTGCCTATTAATTATTATCTTCAAGTACGCTCCCCCTGGTGGGGATGAAAAAGGTATGCTCTGAAAAGCAAGAGCCCAAAATGGTATTCTGATTCTTGCCCTATTTCACTTTTCACCCTAATTGCAGACTAGCACTAGGCATGCTTTCAGTTCATTATTCTCTACAGAGGCCTGCTAATGGTATTTCATCTACTGCCTAATTCTGCAGCTTTAACATGGAAAAATTTCTTTCAAATTCAATACTGATGGAGAAGAAACAGTAGGTCTTGCCTGTCTGCTTTTTGTTTAGCTGTTCAGTAACTGGATAAACATTAACCAGCTGGATAGTGCAATTATAATTTTTTTTAAGGTACTGTAAATGCTTGCAACAGCATAGTATCTGGCAGCCTCACAAATATTAATGAATGCATTCTTGTTCCACTCACGCTATTAAAAGCGATTAAGTAGTTTCACAGAGGTCATGCAGAAAATGAATGGCAGAACCAAGCACCGAGGAAAATCCAAAGCTTTCTTACTAAGAGATACTTTTTCAGACATCCCACAGCACAAACAGAAATAAGCAGAAGAAATACAATTAGTGGAGGAATTGACATTGGGCACTAATTATTTACTATGAGCCTGAATGTACTTAGACACCATTTCCAATGAACTCAGCAAAGAGCTTGCTCAACAAGATCAGGAGTAAGGGTTTAGGATTTGGATTAAAAACATTAAAAAAAAGTAAACACTAATATCCCCCTCTAGGGAAATCATCTCTACTAATTATTTGTCTACAGCTTTCCTCAGTATTGCAGTCTAAACTGCATTTGTAAACATGGGTCCATTGTTCTGTAACAAACAACTCGGGCACTTTTAGGAATTCCTTGCTAAAATGTATTAGAGCAAATTAAAGTTTTGAGTTATTATTAACTCTCTACAGAAAGAACAGAATTTCTATTCATAATAAGGGAGTTACCGATATTTGGAGACAAATATATGGGAACGTCTCTGTTAACTGTATTAGCTCTAAAGTTAACAAAGTCATCAAACACAATGGCTGAGCCTATTATTGTAACAGAATTTTCAAATGTTGAAAGCTATTCACAAGTATAATCAAATGGCACCCTGAAAGGAATAAACTTTTTTTTTTGTTATTTTTGCTCTTAAGCTTTTAAGTCTCATGCACTTTTATGCAAAAACTATTTTTTACATTATTCACAAACGCCTTGACCTATAGGTATTTTTTTATTTCTTACAAATGCATGCATAAATAACGACAAATACAAAACAATTCACAGTTTATGAAGATATATTTAGCCCTGATCAAAATTTAAAGTATTCTTTTTTCTATTAAAGTTATGTAATTCTTGTTTGTGTACAGTGGTGACTAGAAAGCTTTACATGTGCTTCTTATTCAAAATAAAAAAGTACAAACGCTGTAAGAAGATTCTCAGCATTATCTTACATTGTGTGGAGGGGAAAAAAAGCATAAGTACTTACGTAAGTATAGGCACCTTCTTTGGCAAGTATTTATGTTGACACATGCCAGTGAAGTCTCCCAGATTGTTCTACTCAAAATTAGTAACTATGCCAAATTGTTCTTGTTCTTCCTCTGATTGGGACACTTTTTATTTCCTCTTAAATGGTTTCATTTATTTCATATATTTTTCATTTTCTTTTGTAGGATCTAGAGGAGTCTTAGGGATGACAGTGACATAAATACACTTCTTGTGTAGAGGGATATTTTTAAATAAGAAGTGGTCAATGGTATAGTTACTAAGAATAATCATCATCTAGTATTGAACAAGTTATGAATAGGAGGAAACTCCTATGAAGTGGGCTTTTGTTTTAATTTTCATTTATTTGTAGTAAAAACTGATGAATCAAAATCACATTTCTGTCAGTGCACACCAGATACTGGGATGGGTCACTGCAGGCCATTCACATCTCTCCTGTCTTTAACAGCCATGGCTTCTTGGTATAGAGGACAGAGATTCTGCTTCCTCCTGTTTTAGGTTAGATTTATCATGCCTTTTGTTCATACTCTTGTTAGACTACACATTTGTAATGTTTCAGAAATTATAGGCTCATAAAGAATTTGGCTTTCCACAAAAGGTCCAGGACCGGAAACGGAAGGGTGCAAAATTTCTCATTAAGGATGTCAAGGCTTAAGACGCCTTCAGCTGGGGTTCAGCTGTGGAAGACACGGCAAAGGAAGGAAAGGTAGGAGAAAATGACACATGTAGCAGCTGTCTGTTCTGGAATAAAAAGATGTCAGACCGGGGTTGTTATGTTTCTCAGCACAGCCACTCAGAAAGTACTCTCCAGATTGACCTGAGAGATATGTTCCCAATATGTGACAAAACCCAAAAAAAGCCTTGCAGTTGCTTGCAACTTGGTACCAAGGAACCACAGGGATCCAGCAGTCTGAGTCTAAGACTCATACAGAGATTCTCCTGTTCTGAAGAAAATTATGTATTGTTTGATCCGTGTTAAAATGTATTGGCCAAGAGTAAAAACATAATTGTGGTACACAACGTAAGTGTTAACAGTTATGCTGATGGAATGTATGGGAAATAAAATTACATTTATGGCTATGCATTATGAAACATAGTTTTAGCTACAAATATGTTTGAGTCAAGTTTTCTGTATTTAAAGCATTTCAAATAATCTTAAATTGGTGTATAATGAAACACCAGAAAAGCACATTCTATATAATGATTTGGAGTCAGTTTTGTTCCTGCTGCATTGCCCTTTCTGCGATCTTGGATGCAGCTGGGAGGAGGAGGAAGAGGATTTCATGTGAGGAACCAGAAGAAATGGGGGTTTCAGTGCACTGGCCTTCACAGAACCCCTTGCAGTTTGTACAGGAGTCTTTGGCCTCTTCCACCACCATCTCCAGAAGTACATTCATTCCAATTCAGCATTGGAAAGGGAGCACTTCTTTCCTTTTCCCTTCTCATCTATGTCTCCCACAAACAAAACAGAAAGAGGAGACTTTTATCATTCCTAGGCATGCAATCCAGGATTCTCTTAATGAGATCTAATGCACAACAGGTTTCTGTAACTAGCCAAGAGGCAAGTAATATCTACTGCAGTGTATTAAAATGTATGTGAACTATGGACCACAAGTAAAGCTGATTATTTCAGACTAGACCAGTGTGTAATTTTTGTACTAGGTCAGCTCAGCTCCATAGGTGGAAATGGTCACTGCTGCACTGTACAAATTCTCCAGTCATTATGTAGACCTTGCAGGGAAGTGAAAGAAAGTAAGTGAAAGAAAAGTCATAGGGACAGCACATAACCAATTATTTTCTGCACTTTTGCAGCTTGTTCCCCTGAAGTTACTTTTCCAGCTAATCCAAAAGGTGGACAAAGTTCATTTCAGCATTAGCAATCTAAAATCAAATCTCAGCTGAGATTAATTTGCATGAATAATGAAACCTGTTTTCAAGTGTGGTATTATTTATATATTTTTTTAAAGTAAATGCTTACATTTTTATTTTTCTAGGGCACTACCTCTGACCCTCTTGGCTTTGTTTTGTGCTTTAAGGTTCAAACTAGTGACCAGATGGAAATGGTTTTATAGCTCCCTGACTGCTGTAGAAGCAACTGAGGCAGATACATAGGGCTGAGAATTATTTAGTTTGACAAGCAATCAGGAGGATATTTTCAGAATAATAAATCAAACTCACACCCCTGGACAGACAGGACACGGAGATCTAGAGCACTGATTTTTGTGCCCCTGCCCTGATGAGCAGAGGTGCCACAGCCCATTGTTGACTTTCCACCAACCTCAGGCTGACTGCCATCGTCTGAATCCAAGTGACATTGATTTGTCTGGACTGCTTTATAATCAAGCAGGGCACTGAAAAACCCAATTTTACATTTCTACAACAAAAAAGGTTTTCCAGAGAAATCCAGTGAAGATGGGCCTGTCTCTCAGCCACTGGAATAGACCATCCAAAGGTTGACGGGCAGACCAGAACCCACTCTAGGATTTTTAAGTTGTTCAGCATCATTCTCATTCCTGAGGCACTTGTGCATGACAAACTGGGGCTGCTCCATTCCTCCAGCTGTCCAGGAGCTCCCTTTGCAGCAGGTCCTCACCCTGACAGAAACATGGAAGGCTCACTAGGGTGATGCCATAACATTCCCATCTGCAAACAGCATTGAAATAAAGCCAGAAGAAAACAAGATTTCCCCCCCCCCCCCCAAGCTGTTTCTAGTGCACAATCTAGGGCACAAAAAACAAGGGGACGCAGCCAGCTCCGAGCACAGGCCCTCGCGAAGCTGCTGGCCAGAAGCGGTTCTGCAGGTGGATGGGGTTTGGCAAGGGGACAGGGTAGTGGCATCTTTTCTCCGTGCCACGGGGGAGCATTTTGGTGTCCACGCAGACTTTTAAAAACAGCCTCGGCTCTGCCAAGGTACAAACACGTGGGAGGGTGTGCCAGGCTGCAGCTGGAACTTCACCCTCGCGCCAAAGCCGCCGCGCTCCCAAGGGTGGGGATAGAAGGCGGGGCCCGCGGGTGGGCAGTGTGTGTGTTAAATTACTACTTTTAAAAAATATTTATTGTTATTCCCTCCTGAAGTCAGCGGCGGACTTTTTCCCCTCAAGATCTTAAGGTTCCCCCCACCTACCCCCGCCCCTTCCCCCCGCCCCCCAGCCAGGGGAGGCGGGAGGCCGCCGTACCTGGCGCCCTCTGCCTGGGGAGGAGCCCCGACGGCCGCGGCCGCCGAGCAGGTGGGCACGGGTGGGCAGCGCTGCTGCTGCCGAGGGTGGGAGTCCCCGGTGCCCTCGACTTGCCCCGCTGTCCGAGCGAGCCGAGAGCGCCAGGGTGGGGGCGCGGCGGCCGCCTCCTCTACCCTCCGATAGCGGGGGCCGGGGCTGGAGCTCCCCCCGCGCCGCGGGGGCCGGGAGGACTCAGCGGACAAACTTGGTGCCGCGGCTCGTCCCCGGCCCCGGGCAGCGCCCGGCCGAGGGGGCAGGGAGGGCACAGGGTGGCGGGGACACCCGCGCCCCTGAGATGGGGTTACTCACGGCGGCGGCGGAGGAAGCGAGGCTGCAGGTCAGGCACAGCCTGTGCGTGGTGCTGCTCTTCTGTTTTGTCAAGCAGAGGAAAAATGGGTTGTTTTCAGGCGGCAGTGGATGGGAAGAACTTTTTTTTCCTAGTTCTCGTCCTTGCAGTAGATGTGCTGGAATAGGTCACCTGAGAAAACGGGGCTGAGCGATTGTAAAAGCTACTGTGTATTAAATACTTAAGTACATATTGGAAGGGGAATGCTGGGGAAGTGTTGGAAAGAAGCTCTTAAAGGTGTAATAATAATTAACATGGATAAAATTGAGACTGAAATCTCGTCACTTTTGCATAAGCCTGTTGGCGCTAATGCAGAGCAGCAGGGAGCGCGTTGGTAAAAGATGTGAAGGGGGGGGTTGTTATTACTCTTTAGATATGCTCGGAGTTTGCAAAGGCATAGCAGAAGTGGGTTATGTGACAGCTTCCATCTCTGCGGTATGGAGGGAGGGTAGGTTTGTATCGCTCAAGAAGTTAATGAATTTCAGAATAGGAAGGACACATTAGACCAGCATGCCTTTGTGGTTTCTTTTGTTCTGAAAGTGGAATATTATTAAGTAAGGTTTCTGAAAGATAGCAAAATAAGTCTGATTTAGGAGATAAGATAAAGGTTGATGATTTCAACACAGAACGGGTTTTTGACAGTCTGAATTTATGGGCTGAAGTCTGCAAGTGCTCTTCCTGATTCAGACTGAATTTGTGATAACAGCGATACCTGTTTTTGCGCATGCTGCATGAATCAAATCGTTGAGCTGCTTCCTGATACTATCAGTGTTTTCAGTTTCTCCATCTGTATATCCAGCACAAGTTCCTGTTTATTTAACAACGTGCGTTTGTTTCATCACTTTTAACGTCTTCAGTTCGAGTACTTTGTCCTGAAAGACAAGCCACAGGGCAGATGATCACGGAAATGAATATAACTTTATTCTGTGATGGGAGTCAGAGCTGGGACACTTGTTAGGTATGTGTGCGTGGGGATGGTTCCCGTTCACTGCGCGAACCTGTGACCCAAAACAGTGTCCCGGCTGGAATGTGCAGGCGGTGCAGACGCTGCTGCCACCCACGGCTCGTACGGGACATTGCCCGGAGTGCAGTGGAAAGATTGAGTCTGCTTTGCCATCAGGTACCGGCTTCTATGTGCAAGATAACATATGAGAGGCTCAGTGTGGGACTTATAAAGCAGATTGTGTAAGTTTGTTTTGCTAAATTGATGGGATACTTTGGCTGTTTTGCTGTAGAGGACGGGGACAAAATCTGGGTTAGATTCATAACCAGAAAGAATTCTGTAGGAGTTGATGCTTTTCCTGTCGAAGATATAGGTTAGGGAATGGGGCTTAGCAGCCAACATGCAACCACTCTTGATGTTATAGTGACATCATTATTAAACATTCTTAAGTGTTATTTACAACATCTTATTAATAGTGAGGCTCCAGTTGGCAAAGTGGCATACAAAATTGCACAAAAATGTAGATACCTGTACCAGCTTGTGATAAAGGATGAAACTTATTTTTCTTTATTAATCAAGGATAGATTTTTCTCTAAAGACTGGAGTGTATAAATAGTTTGATCAGCTTTGCATACAAGCTTTGGTTGCTTAGGGGCAGAAGCAATGCTTATTTCATTAGCTGCAGTTCTCAAGTTACTGCTGGTTTGGATCTATTCCTGAAAATGATTGAGAAGCACTTGAAATTCAGATTCTGTGATTGTACTGCATTGAAAAAGGCAACATATTACTGTATTTATCAAGTCATGTAGTATAATACAAAGCAACTTGCTCTTTTTTTTTCTCTCTCTCCATCGGCACTTCCCAGAGGAAATATAATAAAGATACTGTAACATCTCAATTTCAGTTACTCCAGTAAGGGATGTACAATCAATGCTCGGACTCTGTAAATAATGACTACTAAGTCTGAATTTGCAGAAAGTTGTTTTTTAACAACAAATCAAAACATAGCAGTGTAACATCTCGGTAATCACATCATAAAAGTCAGCAGTGTTTGCTGAATGTCTTAACAGAACATAGCCAGATCCTCATAGATGCTCTTTATACTTAGTAATTTTGTTGCTTTATGAGATCAGTATTTTGGGAAATTCGTTGTCCTCTAAAAAGAAGACCTTGAATGGAAAACAATGTCTTAGACATAACAAATAGAAAAATATTTGCACATTTTAAGAGATAGATATTAAGAACTTCAAAGTAAAATAACATAATTTACTATTTTCTGTTATATTGAAATATATATTAGCTGATGTCAAGTATTAAATAGTTTAATATTAATATTTTAAGATATTTTACCTCCAAAGAGAAACAAATCAATGAAAAGATTGGTGTGAAATCTCTTTGTATGTTTGTTAGTCATCACTCATCTATAAGAATTACAATATTTTTCAGAAGCATCTGCTTTTGTGGAAGCTTTTCTTCTCTGTGCTCAGTGACTGGGACAAGTTCAGTTCAGTCTTCAAAAGTAGGTGAGACCGGACAGGCTCAGTTAGCTCTCTTACCCTTGATTTCCATAAGTTACTGATCCTGCATATGTGTGAGCATTTGCTGCGTTATTGTGTGGGTATTTCATGCAGTTCATGTAAGGTCTAATAAATGAGACCACAGATGAAAAGTTGAAGCTCTGGAAAAAATGATCCTAGGTTCTGCTGTGCCAGAATAAAGATTCCAATCTTCTTCAGACGATATGTAAAATTAGTGTCTTAATAAACACAATAAGGAAGTATAATATCTAGTGAAGTCTTTTATCTAGAAGTCTTTGGTACTCACATTACACCGAGTTACTAGTGGTTGCAGTGCTGTTTTGAGATGCAGCTTTCTGTAATGCCTTTACCACTGTTCTTATAGATCTTCCTCAATTAGTTTCTGTTCTTACACAAAGTAGTTACTGTCTTTGAAAGGCTGAAGCTTTCTGAAAAATGACTTATAGTAGCAAAACATTAATGGTACTTCACAGTTGCATTTTCATCTGTGGTCATTCTGCATCAAGTTTGTCCAGTGGCTTTGTAGTCAGGGTGAACAGAGGTATAAACAGTGCAAACAGAAAAAATGTCCTTGGGGCTTCCAGATTGGAGAGAAAGAGGCTGTATTTTTAGACAAAATTGTATTTTTTTTTTAATATGCCCACCTTAATTTGATTTCTGAGATCATCAAGTGGGTTTATTCAGTATTACATACATGACAGCTGCCTTTGGATTGCTTCAAAACTATGTGAAACAGCTAAAGGATTTTCATAAGGTGTGAAAAGCATGTTTTCATTCCATGGTAATTGAGATAACAGCTGAAATGGATTTCACTACCAGAAATACCTCTCTCTCAAATAAGATCACACATGGAGAGCCTGATTCTTCTTTTCATTGACTCTGTGTCATCTTTCACTGCTGTTACAACCCTCTGTGACTGAATGGTGTCATTTTGTAGCCAGTCCGGGCAGAGGAGAGCAACATAACAGCTATACTATAGATATAGTATAAGTGATAAAGTGAAAAGCAGAGGAAAACTGGACCAAAGGTCCCTGAAAGATTAAGTTCACTAAACATAAGAACAGAAAATTCAGCATGAAAGCACTTGCTCAGTCTTGACCCTGCTCTTACAAGTGTCTAAGAAAACTAAAACTGTGTGTCTGCTCTGCAGCTTCTGTGTAATGGATATGCTATATACTTCATTTACACTGTTGGCAACTAGAATATCTGCCTTGATAAATGGAAGTGTTGGCTAGAAATTGCATTGCTTCTGCTTGATTCATAAGAGAGGGGTAAAATGAACAAAGTGAATGAACAGGTTGAGAGATAATAACCCCTTTGTGTTGGTTTCTTTCACAAGCTATACACAGGTCTGTAAATGACTGTTGTACCATTGAACTTCTTCCACTTGCTATATCGTTTTCTTTTCTTCATTATATGTAACAAAAAAGGAAAAAAGAGGAGAGCAGAATATGGTACTGGATCACAAGGGAAGTCTTGGGGTCTTTTGTTTCTCTTTCGTATCCTCTTGTTTGAAAGGTATAATGTTATTGCTTTCCTAACTGTCACAGTTTTGTGCAAGGAAAAATGTATATATGTGAGTGCTACTGACTGTATACAAAATAGTCCTGACAGGTTTTGGGCTTTTGTCCAAGTCAGTTACGCTTTTTTTGTATGCTAAAGAAGAAGAGAAATAACACCATATCTGTTTAAAATCTATAGATCTGCTGGGTTTGTTGAGTAGGCACATAAAGAAAATCAGGAGGTGCATAAAAGGCAAGCCAGGCTTACCTATCAAGAAAATGAACTGGGTTTTTAGCAACTTATTTTCAGAGGAAATGTTTGCTCCTCTTGGGGATGCGTGAATTGCTGCAAAAATATCTGTCAAATTCTGCCCAGGATTTGGACAGAAAATTGATTTAAGTGGTCAGTTGTGTGAGTGTGAACAGCTCGTCACAAGTTAGTAATGTTATTTCTCTTGCTGCAGCTTGTATTTCCTTGAGTATTTTCAGAATTAAACCCTAAAGAATTGACCTCACTTCTACAGAAGATAAAAGAAAATTTAGCATAAAAAAATAATAAGAGATGAATTAGTCCCTAAATCAGTAGATTGGCAGAGAGGGTGAAGAGTATCTCTGTAGTGTACCATGTGAGTGATGGATGTGGGGCCTAACAGGGCATTTAATGCAGAATGAAAGCCTCATTTAGCCTTGAAACTACTAAGCAGCAAGGAAATTATGCAAAAGCAGATTGTACAAAATATTCTTGGATCAAGTGATCATGAGTTTACATTGACTTAACAGTAGGACAAATGATGTAGTGCCATGTGGGGGTACTTGAGCTTGCTCTGAACAAGCTGTACCAGGAGCTGTAAAGGCCTGGTGTAGCTGCAGAATGAGTATACTGTGGTCGCTTTGCTCCTTTCCTCTGCCCAGACTGTTTTACCTGGTTGTTTTTCTAATACTTCAGTCTTTTATCCAATCCATCAGGTGGAGCTTTGCACATTGACCTTAATACTTACCAGCTCTAGTCAGGATATACCTCCTGATACATCCTGGAATCACATTTCCTGTTGTTTTCAGAGCTGGATGAGCCTAGTTCTGCATTTCTTCTCTTTTTTCTCAGTACTAGCAACCTGTGCTGAACCTCTAGTATCATGCAGAATTAGGTACTTTTGTACCATGTGCCATGTTTCTTTCACCAGAGCAGAGGACTCTACATTTTAAATGAAATGGCTTCTTTTGCCTTGCCTTGCATTGGCAGCAGGTGACATGTGAGGTGAATGGTGAGAAGGACAAAGACGAATGTGGAGAGGAGGAATGGAGAGACTGGTAAACCACTAGAAAAGAGGAGAAATATTCACAGTGGAATATAGAGGAAGGGCCAGATCCAGACTGAGCAAAGTGAAAGCTGGAGTCCAAAACCAGCATAAAACTTGACACCAGAATTAGCAGAAATGAGTGAATCCTTGTCCTTACCCTGCTTGGTCTGATGGTAGCAGATACTGGCTGCACTAGAAGAATCTTTGGGAGTGGATTCTGATCTACCTGTTCAAAGAAGGAAAACTGTAGACAACCACTTTGGTCCTTTGTGTCTATGACGGACACAAATGCAAAAAATACTCCACCGACATTAATCCCTAGAATTATTTTCCTTCTTCCAAATTGAGTATTTTTGGATTTCTGGTGTTCATTGCTTATGCTGTGTGTAAAGGTAGGTATCAATCTCAATTTCCTCTCTGAGTAAAATGACTTTCACAAAGCGTTACAGCTGAAGTCCTTTAATAAGTCAAAGGGATGAATCTTCAATTTGGTAAAACTCATTTTGTTTTTTTCTGAGAACTTTGTTTTATTAGCTATTCAGAACTAGGCCTACAAATCAAAACATCTTTCATCAGGGATTTTTTTGTTGTTGCTGCAGTTGCGACTGCAATTTGTTGTTCATTGCACAAAGTGAAATTATTGTCCTGAGTAAACGGATATAAGTCTGGAAGTAGATATTTTGTGCATTGCCTTTAAAAACAGCTAACAATTTTCTGTACAAGAAGGCATATTTACACCTTCATGCACATAGGAAGTTTGACATCAGCTTTGACACTTAAAGGACAGTGAGAACACTTTGCATTTTATTTTTTCAGAAGAATGAATTAGTTAAAATACAAAAAAAGCAGTATTATGGTAGCGTAGCAAGCCTTCCTTAATAGCAGAGGGGTTTATGTACATTTTACTTATAAGTATTGAAGCCTTACCCTGGTGTAAAGAATATCTAAGATGAAGATATCAACTATGTCATTGAAATGGAATAGTGGTTTCAAGAGGATTGACAGATAAGGGCATCTAAGTGAGAATGTATAAGCATGTTCAGAAGTTATAGTTTAATTTCTTAGACCATTAGGGTTAACATTTTTAACACTGGAAATTGATTTTGAAGGGGAATTAAGTAATCACAACTGCTGAAAACCAGGATAAAAGCTTCCCATTCTTTCTTTGAGATGAGGATTTCCCCAGCAACTTATTCCTGCAGGTGACCAGATCATCATGTTTTACATCTCTTGTGAAAGACAATTTTCCTTATCACATACAGTGACCCTGTGCTGGGGCCTGATATTCATACTGTACTGAAAGGAAGAATGACTCATGTTGAATTTCAAGATTCATTTTCCTTGCATTGCTGGTATTAGACTGTTCCTTAATCTGATAGGTATCAGCCTGACACGGCACATGTACAGGTTTCTACAAATTATTTTTTTCAAGATGGAAAGATGTGAAAACAGGATCTCTGATAAAACATCATATGGTTGAAAGGGAAAATTTTAGAATTATTTCAGACATGGATTTTTAAAGTCCTGTAGTCTTCTAATACCCACGTTTGCAAATTCTTCTCACTTGACTGGCATTTGAAAACAGTTGTTGAACTGTCTACAGCAAATATAGAAAAGCAAGGTGCTTAATACTGCCTTGTTTGCATTTTCCATTTTGACACTAGCTACTTAATTGGAAAGCAGAACTTTCTTCTGTTGAGGGGGTTGGTTAAAAAACATGAGGATATCTTTTGGTGAAAACCATTCTGTGTGTACAGGTATACTTTTCAAATAATTCTATATTATACAAATTATAGTGAATTAATTTATGAATAACTATAAAGAAATGTATCATTAATAATTATGTGAAAACATACTATTTACTTGGCAGAGGCTGAAAAACTTGCAAGTGTTAACCTGGAACATCAAATTGCCCTTACTGAGAGAGCTCAAGTGCTGTGGACACTGAAACTCTTGAGGAGTATAATAATAAACAGTTGCCTTCAGAATGTGGCAGTGACCTTGAACGTCCACTGAGCTTCACTTTCTTTAGCTTACGCTAATGATTAACTTTACTAATGACTGTATATCAAATTCACCATTGTTTGTATAACTGGCAGTGAAACAGGCCATGTCTGCTTTTGCGTGGATGATACAGTATTATTTTCAAGGAAACCCTTTGTATAAATTGTTTCCTTTGCAAAGT